ATTACATATAGATAGAAATAAAACGTTACCTTAATCATTGTTTTCTTCTCCTTGAAATCGGCTCCAAATCTCTTCAACCAAATCCGCTTGTAATTGATTGTTGTGAGTCCTGTTACGTATTCTTGCATGACTTCGAAGATAATTTTCATACTCAGGAAGATGATTTCGAGAAACTTCAGGCATAGATGTACTGAAATTAGCATCATCTGTGAAATCAAATTGACGAATGTATGAGTCACGTTCATCTTCGACAATCATGTTGTGCATTATTACGCAAGCTCGTAATATTTCTCCGATTATTTCCTTGAACCACATCCGTGATGGACCTCTAACTATGGCAATTCGTGATTGTAATACGCCAAACGCTCTTTCTACATCTTTCCTAGCTGATTCTTGTTTTTTTGCAAATAGCTGATGTTTTTGACTTTGGGGCAATGGGATGGATTTCACAAACGTAGCCCAGTTAGGGTAGATTCCATCTGCAAGGTAGTATCCTAAACTATAGTTGTTACCATTAACAGAGAAATTTACCTCTGGTGCTTTCCCTTCTAAGACCTCGTGGAAGATGGGAGATCGATCTAACACATTGATATCATTTAATGTGCCTGGAAGCCCAAAAAAAACATGTCATATCCACAAATCTTGTGAAGCAACTGCTTCTAACATAATAGTTGGAGTTTTATGGTCCCCTCTAGCATATTGTCCGTGCCATGCCACCAGACAATTTTTCCACTCCCAATGCATACAATCAATACTGCCTAACATACCTGRAAAACCGCGTTGRTACCCAATATAAAGTAATCGTTGAAGGTCAGCGACATTTGATCTTCGTAAATACTCGTCCCCAAACACTGCAATAATAGCTTGTACAAACTTCTTAACACATTTTATTGTTATAGTTTCACCAATTCGTAAATATTCATCAACGGCATCTGCAGCTACACCATATGCTAACATTCGTATCGCAGCAGTACACTTCTGAAGAGATGATAATTTTGATCTACCGGTACAATCGATACCACTTTCAAAGTACGATCGTGATTCTTCACACCTTCAACTATGCGAAGAAATAATGGTCTCCGCATCCGAAATCTACGTCGAAATATATCATCATTGTATGTCGGATTCTCAAAAAAGTAGTCTTCGTACAGACGTCGATCTCCATCTTCACGCTTTCTTTCTATATTTCTTCTTTTCTTCTTTTTACGTTTTGACGTAGAAGTTGCATCTGCTATTTGTTGTTTTTGTAAGGCAACATAGTGGGTAGTGAGTTTGGAGGAAGAATCATCAAGAAGCCATTCAACAAATATTTCTGATGTTGAAGACGAAGAATATGAAGAATACTCACTCTCAGACTTAGACATTTTAAAAAACTAAAGTGTTATGGTTAATAAGGTCACGTATAATTGTATTTATATCAAATTCTTAGCGACTACTGTTCACCCCGTGACTCTTAGCGACTACTGTTCACCCGTGACTTCGGCTACTGTTCACC